CGCTTCGTCCAGGATCAGTCGGTGGTATTTAATGGAATGAATGACGCCTGCGTTGCTGTAAGTATGTATATAGAACACATTGAACTGTGTATCACGTACTGTCCTCCTTCACAATCCCATCATTCCTATTCCAACCCTTCCACTCTTTGCGATGGATTGACTCAAGGCCAGCATCTGGAAGATTGTAAGTCTAATTTTCATGTTATAGCTCATCTGGTCACCTACATGAAATCATAATCACATCATATGTTTCCAAGTCCTTTTTTGAAAGAGTCTTGACCTTGGGATTGGAATTATGATAGACAAGAACTTTCAGTTGACCACTGGTGTACTCCTGAAGAAAAGAAGTCAGTTTTAGTGAAACACTGAGAGGAACGAAGAAGCAAACCTTGATCTCCGATTGCCATTGCATTAGAGCAACTGGAGGTACTACTACAAGCGATGGCATTCCGGCAGGATAATCGGACATAATGAGGGAAACAGCCTGAATTGTTTTACCCATGCCCATCTCATCTCCTAGGAGACCTCCCTTATACTGCGATTGCTCTTGCTGCATCATCCAGTTGAGACCCTCGAGCTGGAATGACTTGAGAGTCCTTGATATACCACTTGGTTGATTTGCCGCTACCGGCTTGATTGGAGTCGATTTTGCCAAATCATCCCACATCGTGATTACGGATGGGTGCTGCTTCTCTAATTTCTTCCGTTCTCTGATCGCCTACAGAGTAATTTAGTGATGCATTTCCAGCAAATTCACTCAAAAGACATACCCGACGGGTCATCCAAACATCCCCTGGAACTTGAGAACTGCTTCGAGCCGACGTAGAACCTTGTCGTGACGTCCTTGAAACACCAGAATTCCGTACAGCTCTACTTCTGACTGGCTCCTGTGGCTTGGCATCTTCATCTTCGCTGACCTCGGTCAGAGAATACGAACAGTCGCTAAGATCGGATTCACTTGAGTAGATATCCGTTTGGTCAGTTCTCATCTCGTCACCTGTAGGTTCGTCATCACACAGAGCGTTGCTGATCTGAGCTGATCGAAGTGGCCGTTTCCTGGATGAAAGATGCTGTGCATGGAGACTCTCATTCCCTACTGAGCGTCCCATATCAGTTGCAGAGGAATTGCTGCCTGAAGTAGAATGACGAGACGATTTAGGTTGCTTTGATGACCGCCCTTGATATTCTTGAGCCTGGAGGGCCTCCGCTAGAGCAGCATCCGCCGTGACGGTCGTAGAAAACATAGATGCGGCAGGTCTCTTTGACCCTCGGGTTGAGTTTATGGACATAGTGCTTGAATGTAGTTCTCGCGCACGAGCAGAGGCACTAACTCGCTTCTTCGACCCAGATGCATCAGATTCGACTGGTGTAGCTGCAGTACTGGTCGCTGGCGTACTGTATGTTCGCGTTGAGACTCCGGAAGAGCCCTCGTCCAGCAGAGAAGTTTCAGATTCGGATAATGTTGCCGCTCTCCTGGAGGGTATAGAAATTTCGATAGATATCGGCTTGATCTCTTGATGTCCCATGGTCGCGGGGAAAGGGTCGCATCTGTCATTGTTCTCTGCCTGGGAAATGCTGGCCGACGAGGTCAAAGACGTTCGATTCAGCCGTGCAGAAGTGCGCCTGGGAAAGACTGCCACAGGTTCTATACATCACATGTCAGCTAATATCAGAGCTGCCATCCTCATAATATCTTCAGGTCTTGTTCTCAGTGAGTGATAGCTTATTGCAAGTTGAGCACCCGTGTTGTTCAGCATAGGAAAAGATAGGTCTTCGCCTTACCAGTATTTGATGACCGCCCTTGCTTCACGGTAGATAAACTTCTTCCCATTGTGTTAATCACTTGGCTACCTGGTCACTGTGTACAAAAGGACAGACTGATATCAAACCCGTGGGATAGATCTCGCAGTCGGTGGAACTGTGGGTATTATCAGTGTATTGCGTGAAGGGATGGATGACCGATAAGAAAGGTGCGGGATCAGGATCTAGCCGGGGTGAGGTTAGCGGAAAGAGGCAAAGGAGTGTCGACAGAGAAAACAGATGAGTCAGAGACAGGTAGTAAAGAGACGGAAAAGGGAAAAGAAAAATTGAAAATTGAAAACGAGAGGGAGGCAAAAGTGAAAGAAAGAGACTGAGTGAATCCAATCCACTACCACATTGTTGGCTTTTCGGACCTATCGCTTTAAAACTTCCCTTCTCAAATATTCCTTGAATTTGCCACCCCGGAGGCGATAAGCAACCGCCTGGTGGACCTCGCGTTAAGTGGAACGCGAAATCGTCACGGAATCCTGTGACCAGCCAGGACCTCCATTATAACCCTGCTGATCATTTCTGCTGTGGAAATTGAGCTTTCCAAACGTATCTCATATCCCATCCACAGTTTATTTACTCAACCAAAATGTACGTCCTGTTGCCTTGAGCAAGCCGCTGTGCGTCTCACTGACACGTTGAAGGAGCGAGAGAAGACAGACAAGGAACCAAATCCGAGGCCCGTATGTTCCCAATGGCACTTCCCAGATTACCTCTATATCATGAAGGACTACTCATGATACATCACAGGCATTCGGCACTTACTGATTTCCTCGCTGTATGTACTGATTATTCTTAACCTCGCTGTTCACCCAACATAAATGAGTTACTAAAGCTTCGTTCTCTAGTCCAACAACATCTCCGCGGCTCAAATTCACCAAGACTACCAAAGACGTTTGAGAGATGCAGAACGCCAGGTTGATGAGGTTCAGGAAAACCATGATGAGAAGTCTCCACACGAGGGCACTAGTGAGTCGCCAGAGCAGCAGAAGAAGCGAAAACGTCAAGAGATTGTTGCTCTGGCCAAAATCAAGCAGAGTAAAGAGTTCGCCCGACGCAAGGCGCGGCGAACTGGCGAGCCAGATGATGACGACGATTTCATCGCCCGTGAGATGATGCACGAACGATCGCGTCCGATGCCGGGCCAGCTTGGCAATTGCGAGCTATGCGGTAAACGCTTCACAGTTACTCCATACAGCAAGACAGGACCAAACCACGGTCTTCTTTGTGCTAAATGCTCAAAGGCACAAACAGACAGTGAGAGAAAAGCAAAGGCAAAGAAGCGCGGACCGAGAACTAGTCGTCGTCAAAATCAGAGCAATCTTCTCGACGGCCTCGCGCAACAAGGTGCCCTGAGCTTGGCCGAGATGTGCACGAAGGTACGCTGATCACCACACCCTTAAAGTCGCTGCGCTTTGACCTAATACTATAGCTGGCAGAAAGTTGCAGATAACATCAATGATATTGAAGAGTTTGGTGACTTGCCACCGCAACTATTGCATCGTCTGAGTCAGATACTTTCCAAAAGGCGGGTCATGACACCTCGGACTCTCAATCTTTTCCTTCGCCCAGACCTTGACTCTATCGATATTTACGATGCCGCTAGTATGTTTTCATCTCTGGTTCAGTTTCTTTATTCCCTTGTGGCATTCTCACTCCTTCTATCACACAAACTTCCTGCTCTTTGCTCTTCTATGCTTTCCCCCATGTAATGAGAACTAACAGATGGCACTTAGAGCTTGAAACACAGGACTTTGAGAAGATTTTCGCATTCATGCCTTCTGTGACTCATGTCAACCTTCGCTTTGCAGGTCAAATGAAAGATCAGGTGGTGGGCTACATGTTGAGCCGTGACCTCCGTATAAAGAGTTTACAGCTAGATGCTGCCAACTTGGTGTCAGATTCATCATGGCGGCAGCTGTTCCAAAGGCTAGGGTCACAGCTAGAGAGCCTCAAACTGTCCAACCTTGATTGCTCTTTGGACAACGAGACCGTTGAAGCGCTGACCAGCTGCTGTACCGCACTTCGGTGTTTGAAATTGAAACACTGCTGGAAGCTTGGGGATCGCTCACTTGAAGCCATTTCTAACCTGACAAGCTTGGTGCATTTGTCTTTACACTTTTATCACGATGTGGATAACGACACTCTTCTCCAGACCATATTTCAGGTGGGGCCAAGCTTGCAGACATTGTCATTAGAAGGCTTCACCACTGCGGATGATCATCTGCTTGACATGATACACGCCAAGTGCAGGACATTGACCAAGTTACGCTTCTCGGATAACGTCACCTGCACTGACAAGGGATTTGTGCGTCTTTTCGCAGACTGGCCAAATCCTGCTCTAGAAATAGTGGATCTTTCATCAACGCGTGATATCGATAATACTAACCCAGACGGTCCGGCAGAAGCTACAGGCCTTGCATCTCATGGGTTTATTGCACTCATGATCCATTCAGGCTCTATGATTCGCAAGTTGAATATATCGTCCTGTCGTCACATATCTCATGCTGCCTTTACTGAGGTTTTCTCGGATGGCCGCACATATCCCAGGCTGAGGGAGCTTGACGTATCGTTCCATACGGTCATGGATGATTATCTCGTGGGTCAGATCTTTCGAAGCTGCCCAAATATCCAAAAGTTGGTGGCTTTTGCCTGCTTCAACCTCCGCCATATCAAGATACCTCCAGGTGTTGCGCTGATAGGTGGCTTGAAGGCACAAGACTCCATTGTAATGGAGGGAATTTCTCAATCCCAATCGATGGGTACTAATCTCTAACCGCGAATATGGGGGCTCTTAAGTCAGCTAGGAATTAATTGATGGGTACTAGGGCCAAAAGTATCACGGGTTAATTTTCATTCGTTGTTTTCATAACAGACTTTCGAAATCAAGAAATATGGTCAGGTCATCTAACCTCATACCTTACTGGAAGCCTTCTGTGGTCTATTCAAACACTCGCTTACCTGGAGTGCCATCGCCTTCATCCCGAGGCCTTTTCAGTGTAGTTGGCAATCTACGTATCATTTATGTTCCACTGGTAACGATACTGGGAGAGACAGGGGAAACTAGCTTGTATGCGGACTAATTCAGATACACTAAGGGATTCTTCTTGTTATGAGTGGATGACGAAATGGTCATGAGCCACGATGGCCAAGTCTAACGACCTGTGCGTTTCATTTCTGTCTAACCTAGATGTATGCGTGATGATGGGGACTTAGAATCAATCCACTGTACTATCACGTGATAACTGGTTTGGTAAAAGTAGACTACTACGGACGGGGTAATTAACTTAGGTATGCTAGTCATAGAACATGAATGGATGGCCGGTGAGCTTGTTAATGAAGTCCGCGTATTTAGACTGTGGTTACAACACACTATAGACGACATAATTGTGGTATCGTAGTCACCTGGAGAACCAGCTAGTTGTGTGATCATGTGATAAGATACTACCTCGACTATTGAAGCTTCCCGCTTGGTACGGAGTACCTGGTCCCTCAAGCCTCCAACAAATTCAAATCAATAGCAGCGGGCTTGAGAAGCGAACCAGCCGACCTTTTTTCGACGGCCCCTTGCGTTGCCGGACAGTCATAAAGATGGATGGTATAAATGCCGTGATACAGAGCGAGTAATATTGGTGGTACAGAGTACAGTCTGAGGGTCGCCGCCCAACTCACACTCTTCTTTTGTCTGAGCACCTTTTTGTATATTTCTTTCTCCATCCCCATCGCCACTGCCTCCCGCTTCCTACCGAAGTCTGGATTTACACCACTTCCCCTTTTTCTCAGTAGGTGTATCATTGGTTCCGTAGCTGGATTTTTCCAAACAGGCACCAGGCACAATCACCCACCCCCCCTTTATCTGATTCGCCGTCCATAGAGCACAGGCTTCTCCTCTGGGAGCCTTCTGCCACACAAAATACTTTTACCAACATCACATACTATTTACAGTATTTGGCTGAGCTGTCCAAGTCACCTCCATGAGAGAGGAGAAGGAAGAAGAAGAAGAAGAAGAAGAAGAAGCAGAAAAGGAGTTCCGCCAAGGGCGGACAGGAAGGAGAGAAGGGTGCTACTATAATTAGCAGAATTCGCCCCTCCCCCTCTCTCCCCTACGAGGCTTAGATATGAGACTAGAAAACTACTAGTACGGTACTCCGTACTAGTAGATAGTAATTATGGTACGTAACTTACTATTTCGGGCTCCACACCCCACCACATCCAGGGTCTGTTGAATCCGATGACAGATAGGTGTTGAGTCTTTTGAGACTCAGGTTTCTTCAAGTAGCCCATGAGCTAAATAGCTGGTCACTACGGAGTAAACCACCAAACCATTGTCAGAAATGATAAGTCACGAGTCCGAGTAGATTCCTCTTGGTTGAAATTGTTCATCATCTCCATTTCGTAGAGTCCTTAGCATACAACAAATGGACTTCATATTGTAATGGTGAAACTTACTTTATTTAGTACGGATACCTAGTACTCAAAACTCAAGGGGGGTCCAGCTGTCTGAGTCTCCTCTATTTTTGCCGCTCTTATTACATCTTATCTGTCCTATCCAGTCGATAATAATAATACCTGAAAAAGTGGACTATTCTAGTCTAGTCATTTAATTGACCAGTTGACCGACTAACTCAGTTGAGAACTAGGGTTGCGCTCCGAGCTGTCTTTGTCATTCGAATCCATCTCCTTCTCCCCTCATTCTCTCCTGTCCCCTAGGCAGGTTTGTTTTCGTTTTGCCTTTCGAGACCCCGTCGCAGAAAACCTACATGTCCTGTACCTATCGTTCATTGTTGATACGCCCACAGCCAACCCCTCTTCTAAACCCACTAATGCTGGACACTCACTTACGAGTAAGAAGTTAAGTCGCTTAAGAAATCACTTCAACCAACCAGCCCGTTTCCAAGGACCCGCTAGTGGACTGTGAGGGTCCCAGCCGCTGCTGATCGATCATTATACGTATACGCTGTATCAGAAAGAAAGCTCCCTTGGGCCACCTCGCCTCTTCAAACCATTCTTCGGAGACCCCTGACTCTGAGTGAGCTCGAAGCCTCACAAGCATCCACATCTTGCACTCACTGATCTGCCTTGACGCTATCTCATTTTCCTTCACGTCATCCACTTCTTTGCTCGAAATATTATTATCGCGAGCAAGCCTCTCTCCGCCCCGCTGGGATCGAAATCTGTGCGGTCTTTAGACAAGGCCCAGAATTATTCCAAGCACACCCAGCACCCTTTTCGAAAAACCACGCCGGTTTTCTCTCCTTCAGCTACCCGGGCCGTCCCTCAGTCCAATTTCCCTTCCTCCACCACGCCGGTAATCTTTTTATGGGACAACAATAGCGCCAACAGGCAGGGGCTGGAGTATTGCGGATTCTGGGAGCTGGCGTAGCTTGCTAATCCCGTCTGGAAGTGGTTCCGGCTTCGCTAGTGGTCGCTTCGGTTTCAGTCCAGATGCCAATAAAGCTTCCCAAAGGTTTCGCTCGACGAAAATCGTCAGGCAATGCTCTCGAGGAGGTGGAAAATCCTCCTCAGTCATCATTTAGGGTTTTTGAACGACCATCCGCCGACAAGAAATCCTCCAGCGATGGCAACCTGATGTCGAAGAGGCTAAGCGAAGGCCAACCTCTGTATTCGCGATCCGAAGACGAAGAGAGCAACATATTTGCAGCGTCGGAAAACCAGCATTCACGAAACTCGTACGATCCTCTTCCTGCTACACTTCCCTACTATCAAGGTACTAACGAACGTGCTGGAAAAGTACATACGAAGGGAATCCTTCCGCCCGCTTTTCTCAGTCTACACGCCGCTCAACAGACGGAGCGCCTCCGGTCGAGGCTCAGTCCCCGCATTCGCGGAATTTGTACGACATACCAATTCCTCCTATCTCTGGGGCAATTCGGGCAGCCGGGCGAACATTTTCTTTCGGTGGGAGATTTTCGAAGACTTCGGCTGCGGTCCCACAATCTCAATTATCCATGTCTGGACAATCAAGAAACCGAGCTATGACTGCGAGCACAACAAACACTGCGACCGCACCGAGACTTCCAGAGACAGGGCTGCAGTTTAACGAGATGGAAGACGATTTTCAAAACATGTTCGGTAGCCTTGAAAAGCGCTACTATGCTCCGCAGGATTCACCACAAGAGAGAGCTTCACAGCCGGTACGTCAATGCCTCCGCTTCTACTGTTAACCCAGCCGCAGAGTCCCTCCCAAGACCCCTAATGGGTCTTTGCTGATTTCTGCATTGAGCTAGTCGGTGTCGAGTTCTAACATGTCTTCTAGGAACGCAAGTCTGGATACGAAGGTCCCGCGAGAAAAGATGAAAGAGTCACCCGCCCGACACCAATCGATACTGATCGATCGCAGGAAGTTGAGCCGTCTCCTTACTCCTGGGACAGCCGACATTCTGAAGATGGTTTACTCGCAGCCATCGATTCGCCCAGAGAACAGCTAGGCACACAGCATGCACGCCCAGGCCCGATTATAGATTCCGCGGGAGAACGGCCAAGATCTGCAGCGCTACCCCATATCGTGTCGTATGCGGCCGCTACTACCTCTCATCGCTCTCTCGATAAACCACAGACTGCCTCTGATAAGGGATTGAGGCGAAGTGTGATATATACAAGCAAACGCGACTCCGCACCTGTCGACGACGAAGATGCCAAATTGATCATGGAGTCTCTCTATTCCGGCAAAAAGGGTGTACAGTTACCATCCACGTCCGACCAAGACGTTTCAGACGCCGAGAACGAGTCATCCCTCTTTCAAAACGAAGATTTGTCACCGGGTGCGGCTCATACTGAGCACCAGGAGCCTCCAACTTTAGTTGGACCAGCGGAACACAACAACCTTGATGCTTCGATTGCGGCACATGCTCACCTGGCCGCACAATACGAAAAGTATCAACCGGCATCTGCCTCTTCAGCAAACAAGATCATGACGCCCTCCCAATTTGAACACTATAGACAACAACAGGAGCTCAGAAGATCCACAAGCGACGCATCCATGAGTGAGAAGTCCGGCGAAAGTGAATATGAAGAAGAGGATGAAACAGAGAAAAACCGTGAGGCTGAAAGGCAAAGACGGAAGCAGGAGGCTCATCTCTCTGTCTACCGACAGCAAATGATGAAAGTGACTGGCCAACAATCTTCCGCTCCTGCCCTGCCGACAGACATTGATCGGGCTAGCAAGAGTGCACCAAACTTGTTGCAACAAGGTAATCTATCCGGAAGCGGTAAGAGCAGTGATGGTGATGACGAAGAGATCCCATTGGGGATTCTTGCAGCACATGGTTTTCCAAACAGGAATCGGCCTCCCAGTCGCCTGACACCTTCTAATTCTATACCCAATCTTCGAAACTCATTTCAACAGCCGTATATATCGTCTCCGGGGTCGGCCGCAGAACAGGATATTGCGAACCGTAGTAGCTTACCTGTCTTCGCCCGAAATCTGCCTCGAGACCCATATTTTGGTGCAAGCCTGGTCAATCCCTCTAACAGAGAATCTCTCGCCCTCGGAGGAGGTGCGTCTGTGCATGGCGCCCAACCGCCCGCGTTACCTCCAGGAGGCTTAGTGGGGGTCATTGCTACTGAGGAACGGGCTAGAGCCATGAGAAGGGGAAGTCCCAACACCCAAGCCATGTATGATTATCAGGCTGGCGGAGTATCCGGATCGGCAGTTCATCCTGGTGGCATTGCCAGGCCTTTCACTATGATGAACCTGAATTCGACCACTATGACTAGCTCGCAGCCATCGATATCTGCGACGGAGCAGGCACAAATACAACTTTCACAGCAAATGACGCAAATGGTGCAGATGCAAATGCAGTGGATGCAGCAGATGATTCAAATCCAGGGTGGCCAGAACGTTCCTCAAACTACGATACAGGGCGGCCCTCTACCCGGTCTGGGAGCCAGTGTCAACATGCGGCCGTCGTCGATGCCGTCAGCCGACACTATGAGCGGTGCATCACCTGGTCACCAAGCTGACCACAGGACGCTCAGCATGCTTGACCCCAACGCCTCTTCTCGGTTGAATACCCCGGCGTTGCCATATGCGTCTGGGGCCCTCAGGCCTGGCACTCCAGCAGGTCAAGGCTATGCACCGTCTATTGCCCCGTCCGAACGTAGCAATGTTGGGTTAGCATCCCGCTATAGACCTGTCTCAACGATGCAGCCAGATCCTGGGGCTTCGGCTCTTCATTCAACGTTCAATCCGTGTAACGATGAGAATGAGAAGCTCTGCGCTGTCGTTCCAGCCGGGTTGCCCATGTCTAATCGTCCGCTGTCCAGCCATAACCACATACCCACTCACTCCAAGCCAAGTAACAGCGTTGCGGCGGACGATGACGATGACGATGAAGGATGGGCTGAAATGATGAAAAAACGAGAAGACAAGAGGAACAATTGGAGAATGAAGAAGGAAACCTCTAGTTTTGGGGACTTGCTCAATGCAGTACACTAGCATGGTTAGTCCTGCTCTGACATATACCCTGGGTCTCGGGCATCTTTCAATGTCTCCCTGCTTTGTTCCTTGAAAGTGATCTCTTCCTTTACCCAATTATCTGTTATCATTTGTGTGACATCTCAGCGCAGCAAACTGACTGGTCTCTATACCTATGCAGTTGTTTTTGTTCAACCGTATCCTTGAAATCTGTTCGTTTCCTCGGTCCATTCCTCGACCGTCTCTTTTTTTTTTCTGGATATGATTCTATACATCTGTTCGCTCCAGTATTTTGCTTGTTCTCACCTGAGCTAGGATTGATGGTGATAATGGCTAGCAGCTTTCTCCCTGTCTCTTGTCTTTGTGAAACGGAGCTGGATAAGGGCTCATGATTGGCGTTCTAATGGCTTGTCGATTTTTTAGCCCAGTGCGGGTTGTGATGTTTTGAATTCATCTACATGTCGCATGTATCTTCTTGAACCTGTAATTAATCAATATGTACCCGATATTCATAAAATAATCGTACGTCCTCGGTCTCTTTCACTTGGGTAGAAGATAGCGACGCGGTATAGAAAATCCTACTAGTATGGCTCGAGCTGGGAGCAAAATTTTTAACATATGTAGGAAGGCAGACATCATCCACCCAGTCTATTCATCCTGGAGCCTGTCTGTAAACGCGATAATGTTAGCCTTTCATCTTGTGCAGGAATAAAAATATGTGCAAAAACATTCAGGTACTATATAGTCAATGGTGGCTGGTCGTAAAGGGGAACTGATAGCCGAGTGACTGCTGATCACGTGCTTTTATTCCGAGATTCTTCTGACGTTACCAAAGCATTATCCGAAATTGCTTGCATCTACAACAATCTCCTGAAAGCCTACTGTTATTTCAGAGCCCTTCTTCAGCTTAAGCAGCGGAAAGCTGCATTTCTTATCTTGATGAAGTGAGCCCTGTATTACTTCTATATCATAACTTACCTACGGTCCAACCGCTAAGGCCTCATTATCTCATTATCCTTCCTCTCCCATCCTTAAGGGACAAAGAAGATACAGCGGAAGAGGGTTGGCTTCAGCTTCAGCTTCATCTCTCTGCTTACTCTATACTTACTTACTTGAGTCTTGTACTGCTAACTGCTGTGTTGGGATCGAGACTATCTCGGTTCTCTTGCATTCCCTTCCTTCGTCTGGATATCTGAACTCCAAATACAAGATGAACGCCCCAGATCGGTAAGAATTATTCTTAGTTAGAAGCATGGCTCTTCCTTCTGTTCATATCAGTATCCATCGTTTCAAATCAAGGACGTGTACATGGATGCAGCTGTACGAGCTCTCTGCGCTCCGAGTTTTTGTCATTTATCGATTGACTCCAACCTTGGAGATTTTGCATGGCAATTGCTCTCGTTCATTCCACCCTTTCCCCATAAATTCCCCGTCACACTGGTTGGTGTTTGCTGCTCCTATTTCTCCATCTTGATTCGTTCTTTTGTACATCTCCCATCACCGAGCCATTACTGCCTGCTCCGAGTCATTGTCACGTTAGACGGCTGCAGCCATGAGTCCGAGCAAGGAATATCTCCTGCCGCCGGAGACAGCCTATGCTCGTTGGAGACATGGCAACGGCGGGCCTCGAGTAGGCTGTCAGTCTACGATCAATGTGTCTCATGACCAGCAGCAAAGGTCGGCTCCGTCCGATCGACAGTGTTGTTGTGCCCTTGTGTTCATTCGATCCGTTGGCTCATCGCAAGTGACGGTTACGGTCCATCTACTGACCTATTTCTCAACCAGCTACGAGTCCTTTGTGCTCGCCAGTGGCGAAAGCAAAGTCGAGATGGAGATAGATACTCGTGCGTCACTCATCCTTTTCGGCCTTGCCCGGTAAATGAGACAAACTTTCTGATTTTGACCAGGCATCCCCTCTTCCGCTATCTTCACCTTCAACAAAGAGGATCACACTCTAGGGAATTTGATCCGTTCTCGCCTGCTACAGAGCTCTCACGTCCTCTTTGCTGCGTATAAGGTATGCCCTTTCACAGTGATAATTACTGGCCAGGATGGATTTTGACAAGAAGTACATAGGTGCCTCATCCGCTTGTGCCGCAGTTTCTGCTACGCGTACAGACAGATGGCGAGATCACTCCCAAAGAAGCTGTCATTACCGCTTGCCATGAGCTCGTGCGTGACCTGGGTATTCTCTCCCGAGAATTCACTAAAGAGTATGAGCTCCGTAAGATGGTGGGGGCCACTCAACAGCAGAACGGTGGTCAGGATGGACAATAGTCACTATCCGCTGCTGTCCGCAGAATAAACTTGCTACGCGATTCCTGACGTGCTGGATCTCTAAACTTACGCAGCCGGACATGTTTCTGTTACCATCATACCCTTTGTTGCTAATATCCCGCTGTTTTCAACTTGGCTCTGTTCACATGGACAGGTCGAAACGCGCACGCATCTATTTATCTGTCATCAGGACCGGAGTGCTTTTACTGCTGTTTTTACTTCTCTTGTTTCACATATGATTAATTGATGACTCGCTTGATGTGTTGCCTTAGGCGTTCTGGGGTTTCGTTCTATTCTAACAGCAGGGTCAAAAAGTGTACACGTAACTTATCTACATTTTTGAACTACTAATCTTCTAGGTGGCTGGGCGCTGGCTAAGCCTAATCAGGCACTTGTCAGTAGTGACTAAGTACTAGTGCATAGAGTAACAGTAGTTGATCAACCTACTCAAGCTTAAGTAGGTACTTGTATAATAGCAGTTGCTTAACTTGCAAGTGGTGATAGGTAACAATATCGTTAGCTGAAACCAGCCAGGTAAATCAGCAAGCCGCCTTGTAGAGTCTATAATATTAGATCTACCAAGAGCTATGATTCATAATGGCAATCTTAATCGTAACATAGTAGGTACTAGATTCATAGAAGCTTGGTGTTTCCCACTATCTTTATTGTTTATTTATTGTTTAGAATTCTGTTTCGTGATGGAAATCTTTGTTTGGTAGAATTTTGTCCTATATCGCTGTTTAAGAGCCAACAAGCAACTCGATATATTCAAGATCAATCAAGGTTCCCAAAGTTGATCTTGATATATGTAACAATACATAGGTACTGTACATAAGTTACCTTCGGACCGGGTTTGCTTAACTATTCGACTTTAGTTAACTACGGAGTTATATCTTACCGTCCCTGATTATGTAAGTTGTCAACCCCCGTCAGCGTCACTGACCGATGCACCGGCAGCTCCCCTTCCCAGTTCCCTTTCTCATTGCCTTCCCCGCCTCCCTATTGCCTCTCCTGTTCGCGCGGCCGGCTCTTCTTCTGTTGTTTTACCTTTTCTTCTCCTATTCTGCGCTCTTCATCATCTACCTATTCTTGAGCTTGTTTCTCTTTCCTTTTCTTCAGTAAATGCAACCGTGCGTTTGCTAATGTATTCTTCGTCGAGTTCTTTCCTGGGCGCCAACAGCGCTCGTCCCGGCCAACCCCCTTTCGTGCCGCAGCCGCAGCCGCAGCCGCAGCAGCAGCAGCAGCAGCAGCAGCAGCAGCAACAAACCCCCTACTCGCCATTTCCTTCCGGCCAACCACAGCAACAACAACAACAACAACAAACTGGCTTCCTTCCTCAGCCAACCGGCTATGGGCCTCAGCTGGTCGGGCTAGGAGGCTCACAGCTACAGCCTCAATCTACGGGATTCCCCACCGGGCAGCTGCAGCCTCAATTTACTGGTTACCCTGGAGCATTATCACAATCGCTTCAGAATGGTTATCAGGTTTCAGCTCAGCAACCACAATACACGGGGCTTTCCCCCCAGCCGCAGACTGCGCAGTTCCAAGTCCCATCGAATACAGGTCTCACTGTTCGACCTGCTCCTAGGACGTCAACGGAAATGGCAGACTCATTTCAGGGCAGTTCTGGTATGGCGCCGCCGCCGCCGCCTAAGTCAGCCGGGAATAAGATTCCCAATATCAGGCTGTCATTCATCACGGCGCAGGACCAGGCCAAATTTGAACAGCTCTTCAAATCTGCCGTGGGGAATAATCACACCATGAGTGGTCAGTCATCCGGATCGACCTTAGGAGAGCCTTACCTCGCATGGTTACTAATACCTTCTCACAGGAGAGAAAGCCAAGGAGCTCCTACTACGGTCGAATCTTTCGGGAAGTGATCTATCCAAGATCTGGTGAGCTGCCAAGCTCCGTCTCCAGTATCAGGATGTTGCTAATGATTACAGGGTTCTATCTGATTCTACCAAATCAGGGCAGTTGTTTTTCCCCGAGTTCGCTTTGGCAATGTACCTATGCAACCTCCGGATCACGGGCAGGGATCTCCCGGAGGCCCTTCCCGAGAAAATCAAGAACGAGGTATCTAGCATGGTTGACATAATCTCTTTCCAAGTCCCGGATACACAACCGGAGCCCGTCGCGAGGACAAATGTCCCTAACTTTGATGGCCCAATAATGGAAAATCAAGCTATCCCTTCAGCTCCAAAGCAGCCCCAGCCTCAGCAACCTACCAACGCCCAGCTTTTGACTCAGCTCGCGGCGCAGCACACGGGCTTCCCTCAAACGAGCGGCTTCCAGCAAAATCAGTCATCGTTTTCAGGCCAAGGCTCTCTTCCTTCGCAAATCACAGGTCTACCTGGGCAATCTCGGCAGCAAGATTTGCGGCCCCAGCCAACAGGTTTCATGCCTAACCCGCAACCCACGGGTTATAGCGGGCATCGCCCTCCTATTCCACCGATGCCTACCGGTCCCGGGTACAGCCTTAGTCCTTCACAAACCGGGGCCGCCCTTGGGTTAGTTGCGCAGCCTACCGGTGTTCCCGGACAATGGGGCTTCGTCAATGCCCCGTCGTCGGGGTTGCCTAATATTGAAGCTCTCAAGCAACAACTCATGCCGCAACCAGGACGCGAAGGAGGCTTTTCCGCTGCTGGTCTTTCGGGCAACGCTCGCATTCCGTGGGCTATCACAAAAGAGGAGAAAAAGATTTATGATGATCTGTTCCGAGCATGGGATGGGTTTCGCAAAGGCTTCATTGGCGGTGATACTGCGATCGAGATTATGGGCCAAAGCGGCTTAGACAGGAAAGACTTAGAGCGGATTTGGACGCTGGCAGATCCTCACAATAGAGGGCGTCTTAACATGGACGAATTCGCTGTTGCGATGCATCTAATCTATAGGAAGCTCAATGGGTATCCAGTGCCTAGCCGCCTACCACCGGAGCTTGTTCCCCCATCAACCAGGAACTTGAATGATTCTATTGGCACAATAAAGTCTATGCTTTCACAGGATGCAGAAACACGGAAAGCTTCAGGCGCGTTTCTACAGCCGCAGAAGACCGGTGTTAGCTATCTGAAAGAGCATTCATTCCGTGGCGGTTCAGCTTCTCCGGGAGCCGGCCGTAAAGATGCCACTTTGTTCAAGAACAACGACGAGGCAGCTGCCGGTTATCGCTCCAGCGCTCGTCGTCGTGTAGGTAACAGTGGTCGGACACCGTCCCCTGCTACTTCACAGGCACCTGAAGAGGAATTTTCTATCGAACAATTGAAGAAGAAGTTGCGCGAGGCGCAGATAATGCTCGATGCGGTGGACTTTCAGGACGAGAATCAGGCCGAGGAGGATGATGCTTTAGATCGGCGAGACCGGAGAGAGGCGGAAAGCCTGATGGGTCGCATTCGACGTGTGCAAGATGACATTGACACCCACCCAGATGCTTTCTTGCGCAACCTTGATTCTGGCGCAGAGCGGCGGTCGCTACGCCGTCAGCTACAGGCTTTTGAGGACCTAGTTCCGCAAATTGCATCGGAGGTGAGGCGCATCGAACGAGAGATTGCAGAAGCTAGATTAGAGCTATTTCGCCTCAAGGATGCCAAGGATCATCCTAACAGTGCCTCTAACATCGTTGGCACAGGGCCCGGGGGTGCTGTGACTGAGGCTGATCGCATAAAGGCACGGGCGCGTGCGAGGATGCAGGCCCGCGCTGCCGAACTCGCTGGAAGGCCTACCCCGCCTTCCCAGGATGATGATGGAGCTGCTGCTCGTCGCCTCGAAGCCGAAGCTGCCAAAGTGAAGGCTGAGCGGGAGAAAAATGAGACGATGACTCGCGATGTAGAAGTTAGCGTGAAAGAATTCGCACATAGTCTTGAAGACAGCCTCAAAGACGGTGGCGAGAGTTCCACACGTGAGCACGAAAGAAGACGTTGGGAAGATGCCTTGGGTGTGGAAGATGTTATTCGGGACTTGATTTACGACTTGAAACGCGGTAGCCGCACTGCCCATATTCGTAAGGATGAGTAAGACGCCCCCCCTATGCCCCCCATGAACACGATATCGGACGCAGCCTGATAGCCCGGGGAACGATCTCTTTGACTGACATTCGCATCTAGACAATCTGGGCCAGCTACTGGCAAAGACCAGCGCCAATATGATGACGATAGATTGTCCCCGAACGTACCTGCCGTACGCTCCTCCCCCGTCTCCACAGGCTCTATGGGATCATTGCCTGGCTCTACACATGAGGATCGGGTGGCGGCTGCCAGGGAGCGTGCACAAAAACGCATTGCTGAGCGAATGGCAGCCGCCGGCCTGAAGCCTCAAAATGACGCCATTGAAACTCTTGCCCAGCGTCAGGAGCGAGAGAAGAGGGAACGAGAAGAACGGTTAAGGCGAGCCGAAGAGGAAGATGCCAAGCGGGAACAAGAGAGACAGCGACGTCTGGCTGAAGAGCAACGAGGACCCGTGATAAATTCCAAACCAGCTGGCAAGAAGCCTCCACCAGCACCACCTTCGAGGAGAGTCCGCACCGACAGTGCGGACCAGGTTGATGCGAAGAAAGCTGCCAATGCAGTAGCCGAAACAGAACAGTCGAATCGTGAACAAGCCATCAAAGTGGAGCAGCGTGCACTGGAAGAAGAGACTATGCGCTTAGAGTATGCCCCCATTGCGAGCCGATTTCTATAATCATTTGACTAACATAGACACCTACTCTAGGTCTGAGGCCGAACTGCGTGAGAAGGAGTTGATGAAGGAGAAAGAGGCACAGGAAGCGCGCCTTGCTGCACTTCAGGAGCAGGTTATGCAAGGCAAGATAAAGAAGCAGGAAGAGAAACGAAGAAAGGAAGATGCAATTCGCGCGGCAAAGGAGCAGGAAGCAAGACTTGCAGCTCAGCGTGCTGAGCTTGAAATGGCACGAGAAAGAGAGCGACAGCTTCAATTGGAGTTGGAAGGCCTTGAGCAGGAAAGTTCTTCAGATGAGGAAGGCCCCGAAGATGTCGTTGCTCGGGATGCCACACCGACTCAAAGTCAAGTCTTTCCCGCGGAACTAACCACTGCGCTTCCAGCCTCCAGCACAATCTCAGCGCCGCCAGCAGATTCCGTCGTCAGTCCCGGCCAGTCCTGCGCGGGTAATCTCAGCCCCGAGGCTGAATCCAAGAATCCCTACTTCAAGAAAATTGGTCAGGGTCCAGAAATTCCTGCTGCTTCTCAGCCGGTTTCTCATCCCACAACAAGCGTGCCTTCAAAAGCCGATTCCCAGTCCACGAACCCTTTCCATCGATTAGCGCAACAACAGGAGAGCATCAAACCGACTTTCGCTGCTCCTGGACCTTTGGAACGCAAATCGCGTGTCCGTCCTGAGGCAGACGATGACTGGTCTGCAGCAGGGTCAGACTTCGATTCCTCTGATGACGACGATGACGAACGCCCTGGAGGTGGCAGTGCGAAGCAGCTCGCCAGTATCTTATTCGGTACTATGGCTCCTCCGCGGCCCTTGAGTGCCATGGATGACAAGCCTTCGTCGAAATCGTCCATTTCTGTACCAGATATCCCGATAGGACCACAAGTGCCATCCGCTGAGAAAGAAGATACGGTTTCTGGAACTGAGGGAGAGCCCTCGCCACCTCCACCACCCCCTCCCCCTCCCCCGCTGCCTGTTTTGAGCGTCGAGCCTGCTGCTCCGCCGCCGCCGCCGCCGCCGCCGCCACCGCCTCCTGCACCCGGCATGGCCCCTCCTGCTCCACCTCCGGGTATCCCTCCGCCACCTGCACCCCCATCGGCACCAGCGGGTGCAATGGACCGAGGTGCTTTGCTAGCCTCCATCCAGGCAGGTAAAGGGCTCAGGAAAGTGCAGACCAATGACCGAAGCATCAGTTCTACCGCAGGTCGTGTTTTAGACTAAGAACGCGATCTACTTATCCTTGAAATGTTTGTTTGAAGAGCTTTACCACTTTGGATGTTGAGAATGTACTCGAAGATGCGCCTTGAACCTCACCTCGAATTGACGTTACTGTTTCAGATGACTACGTAAAAAGAGCACGAGGGGAAACCCTCAAAACAGTCAAAAACAAAACCTAACAGAACATTGGTGTGAATAAAATATACCCTTTCGATATATATCCTAATCTATATATAGTGTATAAATGACAGATAAAACCAACAAGCCCCTCCCCAAAAGCCACTGAAGGAATGTAATATTCCTGCGAACCATTTTTGAAGATAGCTCCCAAAACACTTGCAAACTTCAACTAAGAATTTCAGCGACAACGTTGCCTAGTGTACTGATACCCCATAAGACCACAAGGCCCCAGCCAATCTTCCGGTCCATCCTCCAGCCATTCAACGGAACTACAATCAATAGCCCGAGCAGAGTAATCAATAAGGTAGCGCCACTGATGACAAGTACTTTCGAGACCTCAATTTCGTAAGAGGCTCCGTGCGCTTCGATTGTTCCTGACCTCGCATTCACAGTCATGTATAGACCCCCCAAGCCAATTCCAAGAAGAATATTTAGCATGGGCCCCCCAAAGCAGGCACTTAGTGCCATGACGGGATAGCCCAGGCGCGCAACAGTGATATCTGCAACAAGGTCACCTAGTGAGTTGCCCACGGCGAAAACCGTGAGTCCTAGAAGAGAATCACTGATGTTCAAGATAACACCTAAGGTCTTGAGGAGGTTGACCACTTCTGTGGCTATTGTCGCAATCCAGAAGATAGCGACGACAAACCCTAACAGTGCTAGAAAAGGTCGCCACTCTTTTGGAGGCTGCGAAGCCGAACAGTGCCGCGTGCTGATTAAAAGGGTCGTACAACATACCAGCGAAAAGAGTAGTGAGATCAAGAACGGTAATAGTAGACTGCGAAGCTTCAAATCGGGATCCATGGCTGTCCAAGTAATCAGAGCCACAAAGAAAGGACCCGTGAAAAGCTGAACCCAGACCAGCCAAGAGCACCACTCTTTCGTGGCAGTTGTACACGAACCCGTGCCTTCTTCAATGACAGGGATTTCAGAATCAAGACGTAATCGCGGTGGTGCACACTGAGATTTCCGGCTTGAATGAATGGCATCTTCGGCTCTGGGTTCATGATCAAGGGCATGTAGAAGTGGGCTGTCTTCCGGTAAAGCTACCAAGGGTGCAGGGTCGTTGACAGTATCTGCAGGTGTTATGACGACGGAAAAACCAGCAGCATCGGGGCTTGGCTGTGCTGCCTCAATGACAGGGAGTGTGATTGTCAACAGAAACACACTAGGAGCTGCAATGACGCCTAAAAGTCGCTCCCAGATAGATTTAGATTTCCATCCGACCATTGTAGGGAAAAGTATCGCAATGATTGACCGAAAGCTGGACCAAGACGTAGCCCAAGATGTTGCCGACGTTTTGATCTGGTTGTCCCCATTGACCTCAACACCGTCCTGAAAGTAGAGTGGTTCAGTGGGACTTGTAGCAGGCGGCAAGCGAATGCTCGGTGCCCTTGAAGACACTGGACCCATTCCATCCAGAAGAGGTGGGAAAGGGCTAGTTGGGCTATCAAGATGGGCATCCGCAGATAAGGCTGTACCCTTAGGGGATATCGGCAGCGGAGAACTGGGATGTGAGTGTGATGATTGATACGTGGGTAAGTGGAACGATTCCGGAGGAGCAAGGAGGCTTGGACTCTGGGTTAGACAATCCGGCTGATGTGTGCCGCCCATTGCTTGACTGTTGACCGAGGGTTGGCTGACAGTCAGGAAGGGTTTTCGGGAGTTAGACTCTAATATGCTTGTATCCAAATTTAGGTCCACTGCAGCGTTGGCAGATACGGCTCGAGCCCGAGTCGGAACACGTGCTTGATTAGGATGCAAGCGATCGCTGGTCAAGGGTCGACTAGCATGTGGATGAGATGCAACGGAGACGTTGTCCGAATACACATATGGCGTGGCCATTTCCTCATTGTCTGAATATTGGTCAAGGTTGACGGGTGGGGCATCTGAGTGAAGATTCCTCGATTTCTGGAGAGACGTAAGAATGGACTGGAATTCTAGCGCACCCACGAGGCTTGGCCGGATGGGATTTAGAGTATTGCGTCGGCGGGCAATTGGGCGGAAGACACGCATGTTGTCCCGTATTTCAGCCAGGTAACGGTTGCGGGTTTCATCGTCTTCTTCTCCTTCTTGCCAAATCCCAGCATCGGACCTTTCCAGCGCGTTGAAATCTTCGCCGTGAAGGAGACTCGTAGACTCCGAGGTTATCCCAGGATCATCGTCCTCGATCTCTTCAATGTCGAGCTCTTGATTTTCAGGTATGTGGAAGTGCGACCGTGCTGCTAGGTTTCGCTCGTAGGCTCGGCGCCGTCGTAGGATATACCAGTGCCATGTTACAACAAGCACCACATAAAAACAGTATAGAGCTACCATTGTGGCTGACTCCCAGACATGCAGGCGTCCGTCAGCAAGTAGGAACATACTGAAACTCACAGCCACAACAAAGTACCCTACGTCTCGAACGAAACTCCTCCGCGCGACCTTGAATGGGCGGACCAGCGCCATCGAGCCAGCAACCACGGATGTTATGAAGCTTGCTGCGCCGAGAAGCTCCCCGATAGCCAGACTGCCACTGTTTGATCGCATGGCAGCAAACGTGGAAAACACGTCAGGGCTTCCGTTGCCAAAGGCAAGGAAGGTGACGCCTGTGAGGCTTTCACTCAAACCGAGAACACTGGCCAGTGTGCTCAGGTCAATGCAGAGAAAATCACTGGCAGCAATGCCGATAGTACTGAACAATAGGGACAGCCATGATATGATGACTGTGAGCGCCAAAGGCTTCGCATTCGCTAAGGTGCAATAATAGAGCTCAAGGTAGGATATGAGTCCATCTTGATCATCCGGGCAGTTTGTCCTGATGAAAGAGCACTGGTCCTGGACTTGACGGACTAAGCGACACTGGATAAGGCGTAAAGGAGGTCAGAACTCCGTACTTCATTCAGACTACTACCCGAGACTTGGGAAGAGATACGTACCTCCACTGTGTTGTCTCGCTGGCGAAGCCGCCATAGGTCGGGAACGGCAGGTTCATGCGTGAGCCGTCGCAAAGTCCAACTAGAGAGACCGAGAGATGTTAGAAGTATGATGGACCAGAAAAATGGCCGAACAGAGAAGCGCCTTTGCCGAGAGATTCGGTCGTGGCGAGAAATCAGTCTTGATAGCATTTTGAGAGATATCGCGGCATCCTGGGCGATAGGCCGTCACGATCCACACACCCGGATAAGCACGTGGCTGCTGCGAAACAAGGTGAGCACCATCCAGCTGCGGCAAAAAGGAAGCGATGAACAAAGCCGGGAAGGCCTGAAAGATGGAGACGGAGGATATTGGTGTCGCGCAAATGAATGGGCCGAAGATAAAATGAAGGAGGTAGATAGAGAAGGGGGAAGAGCAGGTGGAGGAAGGATAGATTAGACAGAGTGACAGACACCAGCAAGCGGTAGTAAAAGTAACTTAACTACTACTACCTACATATAGAGAGCACCAGCCACTGATGTCACGCTAGGAGGCGGTGCAGATATGAGTATTGTACAGTATTGTACAGTACAGTACAGTACAGTATGGAGTACGTGTACTAACTAGTTATAGCTAGTACTGTGTAACTAAATAGCCACACTAGAGCTGACTCAGCAAGCGGGGAAATTGCGGTAGTGGTTACTGTGGCGGGGCGGATGTTTTGTTGATTGTTTGTTTCGTCCCAGATGGAGGGTTGACTGGGTCAAAACGATAATCACCACACACCACCACCACCGTTTCCTACGGGCTCGTGGTACCTGATGCCGGCTATCTGGCTCGTCTGACTTTTAACTCAGAACTGGCTCCCGTTGGGCTCTGTACTTATTTGATTTCCGCCGTCTTACTGGAATCCCCTCCCCCACCAACAGAGACCCCCTCTGCACAATGCCGCGCGTGGCTAATTCCAAGCACCGTCGCTCCAATGGTGGCGCATCCACCCCTCTCAAAAACTCACCCATGAGGTGTGCACGGCTATGACTCCGTACTTATCTTGGTGGGAAGTACTGACGGACAGTCTTAGGATACCACTCAACGACGACATGGGAGAGAAAGCAGCGCGCATGGAGGCGCGCCAAGCTCGATATGACCGCCACATGGACCAAATCAAGGCTGCTGTCAAGACGCCTATGCCGCCTCGACGACATCCTGGACACGACCATAGTGCCAGCATGAGCCCCGCCACCCCTCGAGGCTCGGGGTATCGAGGGCGAGAAAGTGATGTGGGTGGACGCAGGGCAGTGACACCGATGAAGCGCGTACCAATCTTGGCCAACTTTGAAGAATGGATGAAAATGGCCACCGACAACAAAATCAATGCTAACAACTCCTGGAACTTCGCACTGATTGACTACTTCCATGATATGTCATTACTCAAGGAGGGCGATGGTGTCAACTTTCAAAAGGCTAGTTGCACGCTGGATGGTTGCGTCAAGATCTACACTAGCAGAGTAGATAGCGTGGCGACGGAGACAGGCAAACTACTAAGTGGCTTAGCCGACAGTCGCGACAAGAGAGCTCGCGAGACCGGAGCCGAGGGCGGCGATGAAGATGGGGCAGACGAGGACGAGGACGGAGAAGAAGGTGCCGCTCGAAAATCAAGGAGAAAGGTTCGTTTGCCCTCAAAACTCTATCCTCGATCTTCTTAACAGTTGTTAACCCTGGCGAAGGCACAGCGATCACACGAAGCTACATTAGCACCATCCTTCTCCTCGCTCCAATTGAAAAAATTTGAGCTCGAATTCTCAGTTGACCCATTGTTCAAGAAGGCCTCCGCTGATTTTGATGAAGGTGGTGCCAAAGGGCTACTTCTGAATCACCTATCTATTGATGGGCAGGGACGCATAGTGTTTGATAGCAGTGATGATGCGGCCGCGGCAGCTGAAGCAAGTTCAAAGGATGCAGACGATCAGGAGGCGGAATCACAGGAACCAGAACTACCATCATCACCGTCTTCGGCCAGAAAAACAGCAGACAACATGTTTGAGGACAATATGGAGATAGATATGGCTCCCCTGGCGGAACGGTTTTTCCCAAACTTGGACCTCGTGGACAATCAGGACATTTGTCCCTCACTGAAGAACTTTGATCTCGGCGATCCAAGCGGCTCGTTAGACATCCCTTTCTTGAAGGCATCCGATGACTGGCGGCATGAGAGAGGCCAAGAGGAGGCGGGTCCCGTGAATGATGCATCTGGTATCATGCTGGATGATGACAACGCAGTCGGGTTCGACGACGACGACGATGATGATGGCACGCTGGCTGGCTTCGATCTAGGCGGAGATGCTGGCTTTGGTGAGGGTGGTGAGGTCTGGGCTCGTGAAGCTGCTTTGGAGCCCATGCTGAAAGTGCATCGTGTTGATCGAGAAGGCGAGGATAATGCAGATGGCGAAGATATGGACCGCGATGATGGTGATGCCTATGCTATCTCTTTGACCCACCAGCCAGACAACAGGGATCATGAAAACATTCTCAGCTACTTCGACAATGCCCTACAGAAGAACTGGGCAGGGCCGGAGCATTGGAAGATTCGCCGGATTAAGGAGCATGCCGCTGCAAGTAACGCCAACGTCGCGCCGAAGCAACGTAGGGAAAAGGAACCTTTCGAGATTGATTTCTCTACACCACTTGATACCACTATCGGGGAACTGATCTATATGCCCGCCAGCTCGAATTCCACAATATCTCTGCCTAAAACACAATGGAAAATAAAGGGTCGTAACCTTCTTCCGGATGACAAGCACTTCAATTCACGACAGTTGCTTCGCCTCTTTCTCAAGCCAAAAGCGAGGTTGGGATCCAAGAGATTCACGGTTTCAAAGCGATTTAACCACCGGCGACATGATCAAAACTCGGGCAATGGGGAAATGGACGAGGCATTCTGGGCAAATCACAAACCGGAGGATGTTGCCGCTTCCGACGAGGGTGTTCCAGGGGCATATGACGCCAACTTCTTCGCGGATGATGATGGCCTTGCATTCCCGAACGGTTTCGACGACGACGATGACGAAAACCTCCCATTCGCTGATGCTAGAGAAATGCTTTCCCCGCCCGCGGATGGAGGTCCAGGTGCATCTGTAGGAGAGTCTGCGGGAACATCAGGCCTTCCCGCACTCCTTAACATTATGGGGTCAGTCCCTGGCTCCACATTGCCAGTTGGTGCTGGAGGATTTGGATCGCAACTAGTAACGCAGGGCGGTCGTCGGGCACGTCCCGAGTATGTCGCTTATGCTCGAGTGGCTAAGAAGGTTGATGTGCGTCGGCTAAAGCAGGAAATGTGGAGGGGCATGGGAGAGCGGCTGATAACAACATCCTCGTTTGATACACCCCATGAGGCAGATACCGTACCCAATGCCACCGAGGAAGCTACCCCTCAACACCCCGAGACCGAGGCGCAGCCGATTCCAGCGTCTACACCAATGGGTAAAGGCCAAGAGGATGTTTCTGCGGACAGTACGCTTCGATTCACACAAATCATGAACTCACTTCAAACGGTTTACGCCCCGGAGAAGCTACGCGACATTAGCACGTCTTTTGGTTTCATCTGCCTGCTCCATTTGGCTAATGAACAAGGTTTGGTTTTGCAGAATGATGATGGCCCTAGCAGCCTTGGTGCTGGAAGGCTGGAAGAGATCTTCGTTACTAAAGATGCAAATGCAATCCTTGACGAAGGCAATGCATGAAGGGAGAGTTTGATCGGTAGTACTACCACATGTACAAGGCCGATCACCGCGATATGAGGTAATGCTGATTATTTCTGTTACATGCTTGGGTCTCGTGGTCATAGGCGTTCTGGATGGAGGATTCTTTCGTTCGGAAATGGGCCGGCTGGCTCTACCGGTATGCTGTTTTTGCGATGCAATAATTCAATGAAAAAATAAGCTTACATCTCGCGGCTATCTTATTGGCTGCGTTTTCTTGTCTTCCTTGTTTCAAACATCAAATATTTTAGGAAATTCCGGGATTATGAACACTTACATCTTCCTTCTTTACCATAACGTTGACATAACTGATCATGATGCCCGCGTACCCTTTGAACCAGGTGTCACATACGCCTTATTGAGTTCGTCGGCTTGAAGTACTTCCAACATCTGTCTCTAGGGACATGAATGCAGCAATGCTGCTTCACGGTGACTAGACATCTGCAATTCCAATAACACAGGGTTATGAGGTGCGACACTGTAGGTACATGCAAGCGTGGTATCAATTCGAATTACATATCAACAAAGAGAGAATCAGAAACAATTGAAGTAGATCGGCTCGAAAGGAAGCGGTAGTTAAAGACCAACAAGAGAGTTTGAGGGAGAGGTGCACACAAATATCCCCATAAAATCGACGATCCAGGACATGGAAGTATTGGGAGGTGCTTGGTGAAGGGGAAAGTAAGGGCAGGCTGATGCCCGATCACAACCGGGGCCTCCAGCAAAGCTTCCCAGACCTAGTGGTCAGCATGATCGGTGTTCAATCCATATGCGTGTGGGTTTCATTCCCTCGTCATGATTATCTCCAACTATCGAACTCAGCCCCTGGGAAACCCTGGGCTCATGGGGCTCTTGTATGCCTCGGGGATAGGTACATTCTCGTAGGTACGTTCGCCGGGTGCCGCCGTCATGTGATGACTTGAAGTAGTAGGGATCGGAGCCGGTGCAGGGAACTCGTCTTGAGCTGGCCGAGGAGTCGCATGCTGAACCCGGATGGGCGGAGGCTTGAGCTGGAAAGGTGCTTGGGATTTGGTCTCGGTAGGCTGGTAGGCAAACTGAGTAGCATATACCTCACCATTCTCTGCTGCCGAGTAGGGATCTTGCGGAAAGGCGTCTTGGGGCATGCCAGTTGATACAATAGGCGCCTTAGGCGTAGGAGGAAACCTAGGAGTGTTCGGCGCAGACTGTCGGAGCTGGGCCATGTACAAATCTGATCTGGCGCGGTCGCGGCGGTCCATGGACATTGCCAGCTTTCTCTTGGTCCAGAAACGGTACGCAACAACCACATAGACCAGGAGGACCAGTATTTCCAAAACAATCTCGATCACGGCACAGACCAATCCCCAGTCCTGTCAGATTTATCATGTTAGCCAGGCAACACTAAGAGAAGGAGGTTAGCGTACCTGCAAGCGGCAAAGGAGCGCGTAATCAATCTGGTCTTGAAATAACTGCTCTCGTTCGTTGTGAACGCAAGACCACCCCCAGAGATCTTTGTTGTTCCCACTGGACTTGGAGTGTTGAAATATGGCGGCGGCCACGATCCACATCACCAGATCAAAGACGAAAACGCCAACTGTGATTGACGAATAGTATAGGGCAAACTTCTCCGCACGTTTGTGACCACCTTTCCAGTAGCCCCAGAATACTGCGAGACAGGCAAGCAAAGAGATACACGAAACCCCCAGCAGCAGATATTGCGGCCAAGGATTTGTGCCAGTCTCCCATGGTGGGAAGGTATTCCGCTCAGGAATCGACTTTGTCGCATGGAAGACGGTCAGTGTTGTGCCCAGTATCGTCAAGACTATCAGACTGCATCCAAAATTGATGAAGCGGAGGAAAACCTTGGCCACACGAACACGCAGTTTGATGCGCTACAATAGGCCGTAATCAGCATCTAGAGTCACCATGGCAGGTAGTTTTCAGCTTTGACTTACAAGATCTCTGGCATTTTCCTTCTCGGTGACCTTTTCTTGCTTTTCCACGTAGAACTCTTCCCGAAAGGTTGGACTCAATGGATTGAGGGTTCGACCTGGGGTTCCAGGAACTTTAAGTGCGCTCTTGAGGCCCGGGGTTGGGACATCGTGATGCGAGGCATGACGCGCCGGATCACTCGCAGCGACATATCCAAAACCCAAATCGGACACATTGGGGGGAGTTTGTAGGGCCTCCGGTGGGTCTGCGAATGGCGACTGTTCTAGATCCGCGGCGTGTGCAGGAGAATGGATGGTTTCTGCCTCCGCAAAACGAGTCACACGACAACCTTTAAGTGAAGCAGTCGATGATTCGGAAGACTTGCGCTCCTGAATGGCGACGTTGGGCGGGAACATTGCGCCAGTATTACGGCCACGAACGATATCAATGGGGGACACGGCTTCATAAGTTTGAGGCAGACTTTTCTGGCTCTCGCCGGACATAGACATCTGGTGAATAGGGTTGGGTTGCAGTAGGCCGTATGTAGCAAGAGCTCGAAGGTATGAAGAGGCCAGCTCTCAACCTTGGGTCGCAATGACGATGGAACAGGTTTGAAGGTTTGAAACAGCTGAGCAAGTTATACAAGAAGGAGCATGCGGATCCACAATATGTTTTAATGGCGAAAGATCAAAACAACATTCTCTTCAGAAAGGAGGCAGTGCGAATTCTCTATAACCTTCTCTTGTTTGTTCAATATAAGGTTATGAGTGGCCGAGTACAAGATGAGGGCCCTGAAGCTGGGCTGGCAGTCAGGTCAGACACGAATACAAAAGGAACTATGAGAGATGAGGGAAGAGGTAGGAAAAGCCGGGCCTGGGCGGCATGATCGCTTTGAATATCAATGAAGAGGGTCCTAGCAATATCTTCTTCATTTGACGAGGAGAGAGGGGGAGGGAGGGGGGACATGCCGATAGCATTATGAATTAGAGGTATGTGAAGAGAGCAATTAAGCGCCGACAAGGTGCAGCAAGGTGCAGTAAGGTGCAGCACAACCTAGTGATTGGATGGGCAGGAAAGTCAAGGTGAACCACTAGAGCAGTCGACCTGGCTTGTCACAGTGGAGACGGAGGACGCGATTCGCCGCGAGCAAAGACCATGAAGAAGCCCTGGCTGTCACTTCAGATGCACGTTCCATCACCTGAAGAACGAATCAAATCGGGGGATCTCCATGGACCGGGCTCTGACTGTGCTGCCGAGCGCCAATTTTGAACTTTGGAACTTGGTGGAAATGCTGAGGTGTTGACCATCTTTCACAATCAGCCAATCAAATGAGCTGTAGAACCGCTGGCCATCTGTACCCTGAAGGACTGACTAGTAGTAGTGAAGGTAACAAGGTACCTCAACCTTCCAAGTTGAAGAGTACATACGTACTGTACTCAGGGCTGTACGTAGTTGAGTCTATACCGGAGAAGCGGGGGGGGGGGAAAGAGGAGAAGGGGAAGGAGCATCACGTGTTACCTGTCAGTACTTGACTTGTACGAGACTACCTACACACTCTACTCCAGTACTCCAGTATAAGTAAGGTGACTCGGACAGCTTGTCGAGGACAGCTGCAAGTCAATCCTTTTCCATCACATCATCATCGGAACTCCTCCTTTTTTTCATTTTCGTCTTCTTCTCTCCTCTCTTTTCCGCCTCTATCCATCGTCACTTTCTTCCTCTTTTAGGGGTGAAATACTTTGACAGAGAAGTGTTGCAAGAGAAGTGCTGCAGAGGGTACTCCGTACAGTACCTCTCTATTCTTCAAAACACGCCACAGGATATTCCAACTACTGAAGGATGTGTGGGTACAGTACAGTACAGTACTGTACACTTGCGCAGGGGTAACCTTCGAGGTGGTCGCCCAGCAGGTCCAGCTCGAGCCAGAATGGTAGGCGGTCGGAGGGCACCGCACAGCCACCCAATGGACCTCCAGGCGACGACTGGGCAGCAGCCTGTACTAGCCAGTCAGCACAAGGTCTTCGCAACCTGCCCAGCCACGATGATTTTTTTTCGGTGTTTCAACCAACACAGCCTCATTCCCATTCCTCTGTGTCTGTCAGATACTCCGTACCTAGTACCAGTCTCCGTAGTTCCTCGAGGTAAGGGTATTTTTAGATTGGATTGGTGGTGCTGCCCGTAAGGTTGATTGGATCTGGCCAATCCAATAACTACTCCGTAGTAGTTAACCCCCGAGCCTCAGTACAGTACAGTACTAGCCACACTCCAGCCTGCCCTGTCCAGTGCTCGTGTTTCCCTCCGCTCTCTTTCTTACCAACTCACTCAACTCACGTACTCCCCGTACTCTCTCCCTCTCACTCGTATTTCTTCAACTGATTTTCCTTCCCCTTTCACTTCTCGCTTCTAGGCATTCACTGTCTCTTCCTGATTCCCTTGCTTGATCGAAATTTCTCGAGCGATCACGAGTACTCCGTACGTATATCCACTTTCATTTTGACAGTCAATCCGTTTATGGCAGGGCAGGGGATCTGGTCTTCTCTTCCCACTCCAGCCACTCTCCACAACAACAACCACCACAACAATAGCAATCATTCCCACTCTCCACTCTCTACCGAGTACCGATTCTTTGCCTCATCCTTCCGTCTCAACCTCTTAACCAATCAATTGCTCGGTCTTGTATTCGCCTGAATGTGTGCGTCTTGCAGCAGCTTGTGACCAAAAACGATCGATTGACATTGACATCCCTATCCAATACTCCGGACCTTTCATATGAACCTTGAAGCCTCCCTCCCCCTCTGCTTACTACTCCATCTCTGCCTGTGCCATTGTTCTCCACCTGGTTCACCATCTGCTCTGCATCTGCATTCAATCTCTCAAACCCCTCCCTCTAGCCTTCTTAACAGGATTCCGCTCTTCTTGTCAGCCACACATTTGACCCCCTCAAGCCCTTCAAGCCCTTCAAACTCCTCTTTCCCTCTGCCCCCCTCACCGGCTCCCCAAACCCCTCTGCTTACCTTTCCTTGTTCGGTCCGCTTCTTCTAAGCTACTGAGCAGGTGTCACGTTGTGCCTGAACCACATCTCTTTTTGGGCATATATCTTGCATGACTGTGACTGCTCGTCGACATTCTTGTTTTGACAAGTGCGGGTTTTAGCTTTCTCCCTGCAGCCGTACTATTTCCCCCGAGGCCTTCAGACGGGCTTTCGCCAGATGGACTAACAACATCCCGACCCGCTTCCCACTCAGATCCGGACGCTAGAGTCAGACATCTTCATCCTCTGATTGTAAAGGTCGCTCGCTGCTTTTGGGCCCTTTCCATGCAGGGGAGTCCCTTCAATCGTATTATCTCATTCTTCTTCATTTTCCATCTTCCAATAACAAGGAGCAACACCTGACCGTGGTCTCGGCTGTTGAATGTGTACGACTCGACTGCCCGGCAGAACATTGCGCGAAGGCTGAATAGGACGTCCGTCAGCTTGCGCCACACTCGGTTCGACCTAGGTGAGCGCCCCACGCGACAGCGCCTCCTCCTCCTCCTCCTCCTCCTCCTCCTCCTTCCTCCAGCAGGACATCATGCATTCCTTGGTCTTCTCTCTTCTATCGAGTACCTACCCCTTCGCACAACGTGTCATACTTCATCACGCTTTGTATCCCTGATTAGTTCCAGTCGCTTGTCATTGAATCTCCTCATGTTCGGTTCCTGAACACTGACAACAAATTCTGTTGAGTTAGCAACTCATACTCTCGCCCAAATCCCTTAGGCTGGCTGGAATTAATTATCATCCATGGCTGCGTTGATGCAATCGAACAACGAACCTGTCTCTATCTCTGCTCCACTGCCCGGCTCGTCCGCTCCGATCCTATCGACCCCATCGGAGTCGATCGCCTTCTTCAAACAACCGAGACCTGATTCCAGCCTGACGTCTATTGCCAGCGCCGGATTGAACGTCTCGCGCTCAAGAGAATTATTACCGCCAATGACGACCGCTAGCTCAGCTGCCGGTTCGATGGACCGACCACTCGAACAGGAGAAGGGATCAGAGCAGCACAGTTCGCAAGTCGCGAGGGAGGCACTCGGCGCCAGCGAAAAGCAGCAGGATAGCTCGGCACCAGATTGCATACCTTTGTCCTCAGATCAAATGCAGGTAGATTCGAATCCAGCCCCGGGAAATGCGTCTGATGCCTTCGGCACAGCCGAGAATAACCCGACCCTGATGACTACCACGACAGTAGCCAGTCCTGGTCCAATCGAGGACTCGGCCTCTCATGATGGAGAACATCCTCGTCATCGAGAGGGGCTCTCCCAAGAACCAGGAAATAAGGCGTTTTCATACCCAATGCCCACAGCCAGCCTAAGCGATCCTCGCCGTGGCCTGAGCCTACCCAATTCTGGCTTTCACAAAGGCCAGCGGTCACCGTCGGCAAAGAAGCACCGTTGCCCTTACTGCTCGACAGAATTCACAAGGCATCATAATCTTAAGAGTCACCTCCTCACCCATAGTCAGGAAAAGCCTTATGTTTGTCAGACTTGTCAATCACGCTTTCGCCGACTTCATGATCTCAAGAGACATACCAAATTACACACCGGTGAACGGCCACACATCTGTCCCAAATGCGGGCGCAGGTTTGCTCGCGGGGACGCGTTAGCTCGCCACAACAAAGGCCAAGGGGGCTGCGCCGGTCGTCGTGCCAGCATGGGAAGCTATGCTCCCGAGGATGAATACGGTGACGCTGCAGCTGCCGGGGCGGCGGATGACACCATGGACGGGCTTGTATATGCTGAACCGGAGCGTATGGATGAGGAAGAAGAACGGCGGCTCAATATGCCTAGTATCAAGAAGCACGATATACCAACAGAATCGATTTCTCGAGCTAATACTGCGCCGAGTTACCCGTCACGCCAGCCGAGCACTTATCCGCCCATTGCATCCAGCAGACCATCTCCCGGGGGTCTTTTCCCGCCACCTAGCCACGGCGGCTCAAGCGCGTCGACCTCCCCGATCTCGCAGTCGGCCAACATCGCGTTCCCACCCTCCGGTCAGCCGTCGGGCTCGTCTGTATTCCCCACCAATGTAACTGAAAGCCCAAAACCACTTTCTCCCAATGCTTTATCGTCTCACCAACTCGGTCACAACCCGGAGAATAATGCTCAGCTGCACCGCGCTCATTCGCCTGGTCTTTCTCAATCCTTTCAGCAACAAGGGCAACAACCGTACAGCAGGGCTGGTCCCTCGGCGGCTCCAGGGCTGGGCCTTCCCCTTCCTCAATCGTCTGCCCCCCAGCTGCCCCCGCCTCCTGGCTTAAGCTCCTCCGAATCCCGGTTTGCGCTTCATTCGCAGGGATCTGCCCCCCCGGCTGCCTCGACTGGCACCAAACACACCCCTTCCCACAGTCATTCAAGCAACCACAGCGGGCCATTAGCCTCTAAACCAGGACCGGAAGCAGCTTTGAACAATGGTAGTCAGCTGCCCGGCTCCCATGAAGCCATTTATCTCGATCAGAGTCGTGACAGAGAAGAGAAGCTCTGGGCATATATTCGCTCTGTCCATGAGGAGTTAAACGGTCTGAAAGCAGAAGTCGCTTCACTAAGGGTACAATTGGCGTCGGCCAATGTCAATGCATTAGCAACCTCCAGCGTACCGCCATCTCAGCCAGAGTCCGGTAGTGTCACTGCTGGGCCACGCTGAACGATTTCTGTCATTCTTTCAGATTGCATTCCCTCGGCCCGCTGCCTACTATACATCTCTTGCTCTCTGGCCATGTCTGTTTTGTCTAGTGCCTAGACCTCCCTCCAAAACTGCTCCTATCCTCCACCTTTCTCTTGTGGACCACGAATTCGACGCTGCCCATATCCCTCAGAATACCCGGCGATTGTGTCGGAAGTCAGATGCCTTGATCTCCAAACCCGACTGCCAATCCTCTTAAGCTCATTCCATACTCTTCTTATTCCTTTCTTCATCTTCCCCAACCCCAAAATCTGGACGCCGTTAATGAACAGTCTCCCCTTGCCGTGTATAGACCCGCTCTCAGGTGGGTCCCATCTTTTTCCCCTCCAATTTGCCTTTCAGCTTGCCATCAGCATCCCCGGCAACCCCGGGCTTTTCCTCGTCACTGTATCCTTAGTAATCTGTTAGCCATATGCTTCATCCCGTGCTCGTGTCCACCGAGTGGTGGACTAATAGTCAGGCCATCCCGGGATTTGGCCTTGAATGGATCCACTGTTCACCCTACTTGACTTTATCTCAAGGGACACCTGATGCGCATCCATGTTACACCCTACTGGTTGCGGGAAATTGCCCTCCTTTATTACTTCTATTTCTTGGGCGTTAGTTATTTTGACCATGGTACTTGTGCATCCACAACCTATCTATCCACGGGTTGGGAGTAGTTAGTCAGGCTCTTCAAGCGGTCGTCGTGATTGTTCCGGTGGCTCTCTTTTTTGCTGGCTCCAGATCATCAACCATGAGGCTTGAAAGGTAGAAATATAGGATCAGATAAATGTAACTCAGTGCCGTCAGGCCTGTACAGTTCTTCAGCCCAACCTTCCGCCTTCTGAATATGGTCTGCGCATGCTCATATCTGCCATTTTATGACCTATTGCTGGCTACCCATCTCATGAACAAGCCAACATCCGCCACGACAGCCCTCGGGGCTCCGCCCAGAGTCCAGCTTCGTTGCAACCAGCTCGGAATGGCACCACCAGCATCAGAGGTGGTAGCCATTGTCCAGGTAGCAATGTCGGTGTCCGTCTCGGGAGGAGTGAACAACACCTGTTCGACGCTCGCGTACGCGGCAAGTATCGCATTTGGAGGCTGGGCGGCCGTGACAGCACAGAGAAGGTCTGGCAGGGTCTCGGCCGGCTCCACATTCAAAGACAATGGGATTTGCACGGTTACAAAGCCGCTCTGATCGCTCGGTTGGTCCGCGGAGACGACAAGAACAATGAAGGTGCGCGGGGCAATGAGAAGCCTCGGATGGAAGGTGTGAGTAATCACATTCACTAGTCGCGATTTCAGCAAGCAAATCCAGGCGAGGCGATCGCTGTGAGAGGCGTCGTTTGCACCCCAGGAAGATTGCAACGATAGGGGAGACGACTTAACTCACCATGGATATCCACCCGCTGCCACCCACCTTCGATCGCTGGCTGGGATGGCCACTGCAGCAATGTCTCGACGGCGGTTACGCTAGGCGTGTATTCCATTTCATGTGCGGAATGATTCTCCCTCAGCCCGGCACGAAACTCTGCCGAGGATGCGGTGCCATCGCGGGCCGCGTTCTCGTGAACGCTTGTGCGACAGATCCAAAACTCAGAGCCGCGCTGCTGCTGCTGCTGCTTCGACTTCCTGGTGCTCGTGCCGGAGCAGGCTTCGGCACGCGAGTATGTAGAGAGGAGGACAGGGGCTGCAGCTGGGGGTGAACGGCGTGGTTTGCGGGTCGGATGAAAAGTGGTCGGAATGGCAGACACGAAGGACTGGGCTTGGGTTAGAATGTCGTGGAGGAAGTCGCGCAGGGGTGGTCGAGTTGGCATCCGAGTGAGAGAGGGATGGTCAGGTAAGATGGAAAAGGAGAATGGCTGGAGACGGATATATGATGATGGTGGTGACATGATGAAAGGGGAAATTCGATGAGCGATCAGGGATAGGGGAGTGAGGGGAGATATTGTAATTTTGGGATGAGGATAAGGGAGGAAACGAGAACCAAAAACAGGTAGTAGGCAAGAATAGCTTTGGAAAGTTGCGCGATGGGGACGACCTCCCCATATTATATGTCGGTCGCTGTCTCGTTACATACCAACCATATATACAAGGAGGGGGGGGGGGGGAGGAGACATATACATATATGTATATATACAGATACATGCATATTCGCGCGGTTTTATTATATTATCATGGCTTCATGCTAAGGAGACATCTCATCTAGTCGTAGTACACTATATAAACATCAAAGGGTATCAAATATGTCAATGTCATCGGCCCTCCATTAAAGACGGCGCACTCCCGGGCCAACACTGCCCGTATCGAAAAGCTCAATAAGCCCGGCTCCAAGGGCTTCCTCAAGGGCCCAACGGAAGCTCATCCCGTACAATTGCTTCCATTTTTTTGTGCGACCGGGCAGAATACCCGCAAACTCTCCCCTTATTCTCTTAGCAATGCTAAAGCTCTGACCATTCTCGACGGCTCCGTCCCATCGGTCCCGAAGAAGGTACAATGGCATCTCCCGCGCACCCGACCGATTCAAGAGCGAAAGAAGGTGGGACCGACTGGCGCCCAGGAGACGAAGATATGGTCCTGTATTCGGCAAGGAAAGAAAGAGGGTTGCGGTTCGAAAGAACGTGTTATGCTCAGTCTCGGCGTTGTCGCTCGCCGCATCAAGCTGACTTTTTCGGCTCGCAGCAGCAGCTACAGCTGAGCTGGCCGGCAGTGCAGGAAGTGATGTGACACCCGAGGCGCCCTGGGCCAAGGACGAAGAGGAAACAAGAAACCCGGCGCGAATCAAGGCCATAATTTCAGGTACCGTGAAGGCGCCACCGGGAACGGCAGTGTTATTTCCGATGCGACTTAGGACTCGTCGGAATTTCTCTAAAGAAAGACAGTTGACACAGTCAGCGAAGGTTGCTTCATCATTTGCCCAAGCGGCAGTGGCTAGTGCCAGTACCTTTTAATGATTCCTCCAACGTAAGGCTGTCTTGCACCAGCTGATCCCACTCGTCAGCGAGAACCAGACAGTCGCCCAGGCCCGCAGCATCATTGCCTCTTCCTGGCACGATCAAGCGTCGTACGCGGCCCGTAGAAACCGACTCCATGATTTCTTTTTCGACTTTGGTCGGCGCATCGAGTAGTGTATGTACGTGGGCCACAGAGGCAAGCGGGGGGATCGACCGGCGGAGATTCAGCACTTCAGCAATGCGGGCGCTACTCATCCCTGCCCGCTGAGGAAGATCCTCGAACATAGTGGTTCGAATGTGGTGAATCGCCTGCATCACATCGGTCGCCGGGGCAGTCTCTGAGATGTACCGCGACAGCCCCAAGTCGGGTAACAAGCCTTGATCGTAATCATCTGTGAAGTCGGGATTGGGAGCATCTGTCGACGAGGCCGTGGCTTTGCGGCGAGGATGTGCGGCGAATGGAGAGACGCGCGGCTTGACAGAGTTGGACTTTCTGTTCTTTTTGATTCCAGCGACAGGGGCAGAAGTGATCCGCAAGGGCATGGCCGGGTGAGTGGTAGGATAAGGAAGTACGAGGTACGGAGTATAGAACAAGAAAAAGAAGAGCACGCAGCCGAACTAAAGGTTGGCGCCTAAGGCCGATGCAGGGACCAGTGATTGTATTTATCACGTGACTACTAGCATGACTTACCCGTACCGGATAAGGTATGCATGATACAGATATAACTCAGCATACTGTCTGTTGTATGTATGTGTATAGGTGTTCATGTAATAATACTGTACAGTACATATAGTTCAGGTCAACCGAGTACAGTTAAATGACCACCATGACTAATGTGAATGATAGCGTAACCCTTGAAGAATTGGGTACCTATACAAAGATCCAGTCTGGAATGAAATGAATTGTTTGCCTATCATTGGTGTGAAAAGAAACCTTGGGTCAAGTTATCATATTAGGTACTGTAAGATACGTATGTACTATCTTACAGTAGATGCAGTGCGCAGTACCGTACTCCGTACACAACCAGCTCTTTCCAAGGGTGTCTAGAACTTTTGACCCACTCTTTTGATAAGAAAGAGCTACTATAAAGTTATTACATAAATGTGACATGAACTCTTTTTTATTCTCTTCTAATTCTACCTAATACTTCACATGACGTAGCCATGAGAACTTGAAACTCAAACCTGGCTTCCCTTCCGCTTTCTCCTCCTCCTCTTCTTCATCCTCCTTTATTTTCCCTCTTGGGTTTCTTTCCTTTCTTTCTTTCACACCTTCTCCTACATTTCCTTCTCTCTCCTTATCCCAGACCTTGCTCTGATTAAGTTGTTTGCATCGGGCCTCCATTCCAATCACCGAGCCTCCCTCTCTTGCTAGCATTTAATCACCATTTAGCTCTCTTCTCCTTACCTCTCCCCCGCTTCATCCCCACCAGGCCGCACCGGGGACTTTTCCCCCTCTCTGTCACCATGACTATCTATATTGCTTCATTGTATGTGGTCAACTTGGCCTTCCTCTTAATTAGACACCAACTTCAAGTGTAGGTTCTGATTAACAAAATGAAACTCCAGATTTCTTCCTTATACGGTAGACTTCCATGTGAACGACCCGCAGAATCATGAAGCCAACACAACGACTAGCCCACCGCCGACCAACCCCGTGCAAAGCATTGCTGCCACTCCGAATGCGGCTGTGAGCTTGTTTGAAAGAAACAATGGTGATGTCAAGCCTGGAATCACCCCTGCCGGGCCTGCATCCGAACACGAACAATTTTTTGCGGCAGACATCGCCAAGGCTGAACTGGAGCATTCCGGCTACCCGTTCCCAAGTACTGATCGGGAGGCAAACCTCTTGACTGAAAGCGAAGCTCATTCGCCTGCATGGGGCTCAACCCTTTCTTTGAACCAGCCTCGACCACGCGCAGCTTTCCCGGCATCGCCATCTATTCTTAAGCACCAAGAACCCATAGCACCAGGGACGGAACCTGCCAAGGAGAAAACACGCACAACCCCGCAGCCGCCGACCTCGTCTGCCACCGATCACCATCGGTCTCAGAGCCGGAAGAGCTCGTTCTCCAACGCTGAATGGACCATTCAGACTGCGGAGCAAGGCAATGGAGGACTGCGCAATGCTGTGCGATCCGCCACGGATGCTGGCCAGTTGGAGGACAAGGTCTGGGTGGGCACGCTGGGCATGCCTACTGACGCACTGCCCCAATCAACCAAGGATTCCATTGCTCGGAAGCTCGAGGAAGAGTACGGATCCATGACGGTGTATGTCAGCGACGGCGACTTTGACGGTCACTATACACACTTCTGCAAAACAATCCTCTGGCCAGTATTCCATTACCAAATTCCTGATAATCCCAAGAGCAAGGCATATGAAGATCACTCTTGGATCTACTATGTCAAAACGAACCAGGCATTTGCCGAGAAAATCGCCCAGAAATGGAAGCGTGGCGATTCCATATGGATCCAGGATTACCATCTGCTTCTTGTTCCGGCCATGCTGCGGAAGCTGCTGCCTGACGCACAGATTGGCTTCTTCCTGCATATTGCCTTCCCATCTTCCGAGGTGTTCCGTTGTCTGGCCCCTCGCAAGGAGCTCCTAGAGGGCATTCTCGGTGCGAACCTGATCGGATTCCAGACGGACGAATACTGCCGTCATTTTCTTCAGACATGTAGTCGCATCCTCTGCGTAGAGGCCACCAATGAAGGGCTTCAACTCGAAGATCGGTTCGTCAATGTTGGCAAGTTCTCTATTGGCATTGACCCAACTTCGTGGGATCAGCGGCGCAAGGCAGCTGATGTGGAGAGGTGGATCAAGACCATCGCAGAGCGCTACGAGGGCAAGCGTCTCATTGTATCGCGTGACAAGATTGATCAAGTTCGAGGCATCCGACAAAAGCTGTTGAGTTATGAGCTTTTCCTCAACACATATCCCGAATGGCGTGATCAGGTATGGCTATCAGTCGATCTCTTTCTCATTTCTTAGCTTGTCCCTTGGCATGTGATAATGGTTCTTAACAATGCCTCAGGTTGTTTTGATTCAAGTAGCGACGAGCACGACCGAGCAGCCCGAGCTCGAGGCCACTATCTCTGACATTGCGATGCGGATTAACTCAACGCATTCCACGCTGGCCCATCAGCCACTGGTCTTCTTGAAACAGGACCTGGCCTTCCCTCAGTATCTGGCGCTGATTTCCCTCGCTGACGCATTGATCATTACAAGCTTACGTGAAGGTATGAACTTGACTAGTCATGAGTTCGTCTACTGCCAGGACGGTAAATGGGGCAACAACAAGAAATACGGATCGCTCATTTTGAGTGAGTTCACTGGTAGCGCGTCTGTCTTTGGTAATCATGCGCTCTTGGTCAATCCTTGGGATTACCGGCAATGCGCGGAGGCGATCCACACGGCGCTGTCGCGGAGTGAAACAGAGCGGAAGGAGGTCTGGACGCAAATGCACCAGGCAGTGCTGCAAAACTCGACGGCCAACTGGGTCAAGTCGTTCAGTGAGACCCTGAACCGTGTCTGGAACGAGCAGTCGTCGCGTGAAATAATGGCAGTGCCACGCTTACAGTTGAACAAATTGGAGGAGATGTATCAAAAGTCGAATCGTCGATTGATAATTGTGGATTATGAAGGCACCCTTGCGTCTTGGGGGTCTCCCAAGAGCATAATCGTGACTACGCCTCAGCGAGCCATCACTACGCTAGCAGAGCTGACGGAGGATCCCCGCAACGAGGTGTACGTGATGAGTGCCCGTATGCCCGAAGAGATGGAGCGCCTGTTCCGCCTGGTCACTGGCCTGGGCTTGATTGCAGAGAATGGTTGTTTCGTGCGGGAGCCAAACTCGGAAACCTGGCTCAAGCTGACGGACAAGACTCAGACGGATGCCTGGAAGACAGCGGTGCTACAGATTCTGGATTACTACCAGGAGCGTGCTGAGGGCAGCTGGATCGAACAGCGACACTGCTCACTTGTCTTCCATTACGGATCCGCGGAAGACCAGGTGGCGGCTGCACGACTGGCGTCAGAGTGCGCCGGGCACATCAATGATGCCTGCGCCAACCAGGGCGTCCATGCCATTCCCGTGGAAGGAGCTCTTGTGGTTGAGCCGATGGGTACGAACAAAGCGTCGGCGACGGAACTGGTGTGGCGGTCGTGTCTCAAGCAGAATCAACAAGACCCGAGCGTGGCTCGTCCGGATTTCTTGTTGGCAATTGGAGACAGTCGCGACGACGAGCCTGTATTCCGATGGGCCAATAAGTTGGAGAGCGCACAAGCGGTCAACCACGCCGTGACGGTTACACTGGGCTCTCGGAGCACAGAAGCCAGGGCTACCCTAACCCAAGGTGTAACTGGTAAGGCTTTTAGCTCTGCATGTTTGCACGTGATCGTGACAAGTGGCTAATACATTCATTTTATAGGAGTCTTGTCGTGCTTGGAACGATTGGCGGAGCACAGGTCATAAATGACTCTCCATGCATATCCAAATGCATACACAGACGCGATGACGTATACATCCATAAGCACACGACGACACGATTACAGAACATATCATTTCACATCTGCATAGGCATGAGCACACGGATACATGGAAAAAGGTGGTTGGCCAACCGCGGGGTTCTTCTATTCGCGGGCGGACTGTACCATGCCTGGCATTATCATGGCAAGGACAATTATGCGGATCTCGTAGGCAAACCGAATACAGGGATCAGAAAAGCGGTCGGTGACTAGAATGGGGTTGAAATGTTCCTTGAGTTGAAGTCCTGCGTTTACTGTAGACCGACCTTGTTTTTAGAATAGTCAATGGAAACCATAGTCAGATAGGAAGACTTATATTGATTTGAGCGTATCAAAACTCATGTATGTAGCGCACGTGTATTGAAAGTTTCGATCGATGTGTACAGCAATGTACAGTACACAGCTAGTATGGCACAGTACAATACAATACAGCTCGCCTAACACAGGGAGGGGTGTTTTCTCCGCTTTTCATTACGGCTCAACAGCCGAGGTTCACGGCTAGTGCGACATTTGTGAGTACTTCCCGTCTCGAGAGTTCGTCTATCTCTTGTTCCTATTCCGTATTCTCTATTTCTTCCTCAAATCATAACGTCCGAGGTGCAGAACATACGGCTTGTGAGTCAATATTGCCGGTCTGTGGATTCTGCTGCTGGCCTGAGTACCATACGAAGGGGAAAGAATTTGAGCGCGTTCGAACTCAACGAACGACATGGTGGTAGCATCTCCGCACGGAACCGCCTTTGAGGCCGCAATCCAAGTAAACCCCATTAACTCGCATCAATACTCGGCCCATCTCCGGCAGGAATGGTGCATTGGAGCTGGTAAGAGATCATGCCTATCAATTGTTTGGAGTTTATCGATAGGCAGCGACGCCACTTTTTCGCTCTCGTCCCATATTGCCTCGCATACGCTGACAAGGAACAACGAACAGTGCCACATGGAGGCTACACGAGTGCAATCCTCTACCGCCTGGCGCTGACACACTTTGCTCATACGCATCCGCTGCAGTTTCGTGGTCCCGCCACGCCGATTGCCATGCAACTGACCTTTCTGCGCCGGACGGCGGTGGGACCTGCCTTGCTGAACGTGCAGGATGTCAAGCTCGGGTCGCGGACGAGTACGCTGCACGTGACTCTGACACAGCCTAAGCAGTCGGGCAGAGGGGTCGGTTCGGAGAATGCCGCACAGGAAGAGCAAGAGCTCAAGATAGCGGGGTATATCACAGTCAGTCCCGCTCACGCGGAGGTTGGGTTGACGGCGCCAACGGGCTGGACGCCCCTGCCGGTGCCGGCACGGGGGTCACGGCCAGGTGGAGGTGTCGATCTGGTGGCGTTGGGGGGGTCAGGGCGCGATGGCGAGTGGGAGCGGATCAAACTCCCGTTCCCTGAATTCCGGCGCGCGACGCAGCATGTTGACTTGTACGGTCCCCGAGAGCCCACAACCATGGCGGCTGTTGATCAGTGGGCTCGATTCCGACCGGAGGGCGATCAGACGGCACGCTGGTCAAATGAAGCGTTGGTGTACCTGACTGATACATTCCCACTCGCGTTGTCTGGGCTGGATCAGAGGGCTGCGACGGCAGAAGGCGGCGGCGAGGCTGGTGGTCGGCATTGGTATCCGACGGTGGCCTTGAATATTGATTTCAAGAAGCGGTTGCCAGCTACGGGGGAGACCTGGTTATACAGTCGAGTGCAAACCGTGTCGGTGCGGGATGGTCGGACGGATTTGGGGGTCACGGTGATGGATGCAGCGGGGCAGGTGGTGGCCGTGGCGACGCAGGTGGGCTTGGTGGTGAGTGCGAGCCGCAATCTAGGACGTCAGCCGAAGTTGTAGAAGTCTTTGAAGGCCAACAATCTTGTGAGCTGGTCTCGAGTGTGTGTATCAATAGATAAAGGATCTCTATCTTCAGTAAAGGTATATAGACAAATGAAGAGATATACATAAATCTATCTAGTAGCATTAATATGTGCAAGAAAAATGCAAGGACTCGCATTCGATCAGCAGTGTCTTTGCTGTGCGAGGCCTTGAACTCTTTAGAACCGCACCTGAGACGCCACGCAATTCACAAGGCTGCTTTCGTTTGAAGCCAAAAGGCAATTGCATCGGTTGTGACGCGGAGCGGGTCCTCGTCCGCCTCGCCTGGCTGTAGGATTTGAGCATGCACCCAGAACTTGCGACCTACCCGCGCCAATACCTTGGCCTGGACAAGCGCATAGCCCGGGACGGCGACGGGTGCGCGATAACGAATGTCCAGCTGGGCAGTGTACAGCATGCCGCGCGGGTGGTGGGCGGAGAGAGCGCCGGCGGCGCCTGTCTCGGGGGCGTGCAATGCGACGGCATAGGACATGGCCTCATCGATGCAGGTCGCCAACAGACCGCCATGAGCGGTGGAGGGATGCCCGGAGATCCCTGGCGTGGCTAGCTGCAGGACAAAGTAGAGATCAGGGTTCTCAATCTGAGACACCGAGTTGGGAGCGGGCCAGACAGGAGCAATATCAGGGAGGGGTGCGAGCAGTTCCGGTTGGCGACGAAGGGTGCAGACATGGGGAATCGTCAATGGGGAGGCTAGTGTCCTGGCAAAATAGCCATCCTCACCTGAGTCGGACTTGAAAATGCGTGACCAGGTGCGGATGGGAAAGTATTCGGGATGATGCAGCAACCGGGTCAGCACCGGGGGAACGGTAGCCCGAAATGGTTCGAGGGCGGGGGGATGTGGTTGATTGAGAATGGAGATTGAAGGGGACATGACGTGGGTTGAGATATGGGGTTGTGGAAGAAAGGGGAAAGGAGATAGAAAAGAAGTGCGTAGAGTATAAAGTCCCGAACTGATTGCTCTGTAGTGGTAGTGATGCGACAGAGAAGAGGAAGTCAGAAAGTATTCATTCTTATCTGGCTGGATAAGAGGAGGGGACTCTTCAGGTTATGGTTAGGTATGGTAAGGTATATTACAACTTACATCCTGTGAAAGACATGTGTCTGTACAGTATTGTACTGTACTATACTGTAGTCCGTAGCTTAGCATCATCGCAGATATGTTTGTTCTGTTTGTCCTTTAGCTACCCTGTGTGGGATGCAAGGTACAGACTCGCAGAGAGCATGAAGAAAAGTAGATCTACTGCGTAGTTGCGTACAAATTACAGACAGTCATCAAGGACCCCGTGATCTTACATCGTACAGTAGTATGTACGTACGGAGCACCTACGGAGTATAACTGGTGGGTTTGCTTCTGCTTTGGATCCTCGGCTGCGGAACTCCTCGGGTGATCTACTAGTACTGTACTGTACCTCTCTTACTGTAATGGTACTGTACTACCTATCTAGACAGTAACAGCAAATCACTTACCTAATATTGGCATCACCTTTGAAGTTCAATACCTATTTCTTTCTTCCGATAAGTGATGAGTGGACGGATATGTCTGTTTCATACAAATCGTATCATTCAAATAATCTACGCAAATTATTGGGGACTGAGACCACTCACTGGGCACAACAGTGCATGACCCCCCCCCGTACGGGAGTCGGAGTAGCAGCAAGCAGGGCAGGAACAAACTCTCTAGCGCCGGCCCTAAACCAAGGCCCCCAAACTCAATTGGGCCTTGGAAGATGGAGTCTTCCAGTTGGCCTCTGCTTATCAACGCACTGCGGTGGTTCCACCAACCTCTCTCATTCATACCACTGGGCTGGGCAACATTCTTTGCCCAAAGCCAGGAGCATCGGCTGACCTCTACACAGATGTATACGGAGACTGGGTAACATAATGAATAGAGAGAATAGGAGAAATTACCCCCTCCCTTCCCGCAGCTGCAGGAAGAAGTGAGTTCATCTTGCGCATTGCACGCACGGTCTCAACTGGAAAAACCATCAAGTGCCAGGCAGTCAACGAGTTGCTCTTTCAGTTCATTTCATTTCAACTCAAACCTCCAAGCACCCCTCGCATCCTAGGGCAGCCCTGCCCAATCAAATCGATACCCAGATAGCGTGAAAACAAGGCACCAGCCATACTAATAATTTCCCGCCGGATAATAATGGGAAAAGAATCCAGTCAGTGAGTGCCAGGGCTGTTTCCATCTCCTCGTTCATCCTTGACTACGGAATAGACTAGTCATCTTAGGCTACTCACTAGTGGCACCGAAAATCCCCACTCTGATTATTACTGATTGTACAGTAGTTGGGGTGTACTGTGTAAGTCGTTGTTTTTGAGACCATGCGGCAACCATAAATAAAGACCATAATCTGAAAAAAAAAAAAAAATTGGATTTAAAGAAGAGAGGAGGGGGAGTGTGTGCGCACATGTAATATAAAAAAGGGGAGAAACTAAAGCAACCTCCTCCCCAAAAAAAAGAAAAGAAAAAGAAAAAAAAAAATGCCTAAAAAGGAGGGGAAAACAGGAACCAAACAAAATAAACACATACACTTAAGTAACTTAAGTACTCCGTAACTACCGGTAACTCAGGTATGCAGAGAAAGACTGGAGAAGGAAGGATCTAAACTGGCTGTGGCACCGCACCTTCTCTCCTCTCCGCTGTGTTATTATCATTATTGTTGTTGTTGTTGATGTTGTTGTGACTGTACTGTACTCTGTAGCTGTTGTTAGCTGCTGCTGCTGTTACTGCTTTACCCTCTTGGCTTAGCTTCTTTCCTTCAGCTTCTCTTCTCTCTTCCTGCTCTCTTATCTTGTATTCTTCTTCTTCTCCTTCTCCTCCTTCCCTTCCTTTCTTCTCCTCTATTCTCTTCTTCTTCCTTGTTACACTTCGGCCCCTTCCCTCTTCCCCCCAATCCCCCCCCTTCCACAGAATAGTAGCGTCTTTTTTATAACGTCTACCTACGTACAATTACCAATCACCGGCTCTTCTTACCTTGCACGTCTCTTTACTGCGACTGTGATATACACATCACCTCTTACTCTCGCCCATTCGAATATCTACTTGATCACTTTCATCATCATGTTGGCCTCCTCGCTCTTCGCCCTCGGTCTGGTCGCCTCGGCCACCGCCGCTTCTACCGGCAACTACACTCTACCTGATGGTTTCGACCTGAACGCCATCTCCTCTGGCACCCGCGGTATGCTAGTATGCAATGCTCTCTTCCTCGCCCTCTACTGACTCGCTGATCCTAGCCTCTTGGTGTACTGCGGAGCGCAACTCTTGCCCTGAGATTTGTGGTGGAGTCGCTACCAGCAACTCCTGCGATTCGGTAAGCGCATAGCCGAACCAATTGAAAAGAACGAAACGCTCACCATGTCGCGACAGACTACCTTGGACTTCTCCTGCATCTGCTCTAACGGCTCTGCCGCCGACGTGTCGCTTTATGCACAGACCGTCCCCTTCTTCGTTTGTCAGGCCAATTATGCCCAGTGCATTAGCAACTCGTCCAGCTTGACTGAGGAGGAGCACTGTAAGGACTATGAGAAGACCTGTGGCACCCTGAACGCGTCGGCTGCCTCGACTACCTCGTCCACCACCTCGAGCGCCACCAGCTTGACCACCGCTACTAGCACCAGCACTAGCTCTGACAAATCGACCACGGCTACCGGGACCAGCACCTCGAGCAGCACTAGCAGCTCGTCCACGGCCAACGCCGCCGTTCGTTTGGCCCAAGAGCATGCCACCGGTCTGTTGGCCACCGCATTGTTTGTGGGACTGGGCCTGGTGTTGTAAGTGAAGGGGTTGAGAGCGAAAACGACCCGAAGGAAAGGGCGTGTCATGTGCAAGCGGATCAACAAACATTCACTGTTGGGGACCGTTCGCATAGTTGATATCGGTGGGAGTGGGTTGGAGCGCTGACTCTACCTTCCATGACATTTTTCCGAGTCTGTGTAGTGGTAATATCATGTTTCAAGGGGGGAAGAAGGGTGATGGTTGTGATGGTTGTGATGGTGGCTGTATGTTCTACGACTTGATGTCAAATACGATTATTCCCCGCTGGGCGCCCATAGGAGCGGTCGATCCTTGCACATTAATTTAATCTGCCATTGAGCTGCTTCTTTTCTTTTGATTGTGACTGTTGTTGTTGTTGTTGTTGTTGTTGTTGTTGTTGTTGTTGCTGTTGACATTGTTCGTTGTATTGTTGAGTTGTTGTAGACGGAGGAGCATCCCAGGAAGCCCAAGCTGCACACAGTCAGTCAACTTATCGCGACGGCAGAAGCGGCGCCAAGATTTTTTCCCACAACGGAATGGAATTTTCTCCACCGCCCAATCTCTGCCTGCTTGTTCTTTCTTTCCCTTGCTCTTTTCCATCTTCGCTTCTTTCGCTTCTCCTCTTCCTCCTCTTCCTCTTCCTCTTCCTCTGCTTCTCTTTTGGATCTCGTTTCCTTTCTGGTGGACCCCCCTCCTTCTCCTCCCCCCTCTTATCTCCTGTATCTCAATTTTCTTTCGATCTTCTCCTTTCCCCTTTCCCCCCGTCTCTTCTACTCTCTCTCCT